TCAATTTTACAGCCACATCACAATCAGCCTCTCATTCATATCACATAATAAAATGTTCACTTTGTCTGGTTTTGTTGCAGTATGCCCCATATAAGATATAAAACTTGACTTGGTATTTTAATGAGTAGAATGAGGGGGGGGCTTTAAAGTATAATAATAACCGTTACATTCTTTGCGGAATAGTGTGTAATAGTAATAAACAATTAATTCTCCTGCACTCTTGGTGATAATAACATTGGTGGGGGGTTAACAGTTAAATAAATAAATATCTATTACTGTCATCATGCCCTTTTTCACAATAATAAATTAATATAAATCTTGAATAAAAATTCATTATCAAACTTTAGTGATTGATTCATCGTGATTCTAATGCATTAATTCATTCTTATGTTTCTTTGTTTAGTAAAACTTTACTATAGAGAGTTTATATTTAAAAGCATTATATATTGAGCAGAATTTATATATAATCAAATTGTAGCAGGTTCACTATATCGGGCGCCGATTGTACAATGTTTCACCAATATATTATGAAATGAATGACTTCCAAAGATTACGTGTGTGCGAATGCGTATGCGAATTGATCGAATATAAATTAATAAATAAAATTAATTCGTTGTAATCATTAAAATATTTAAGAATGGCTTCGTATTTTGGTAATGATATTATATTAGTTAATTAATTAATTAATTTTACTCGAAAAAAAAATTTTTAATTTTTGTTTGTTTTGTTATATAGCTGAAAAAGGTTTACCGGATCCTGAACAAAAACAAACTAATAACAATAATTCTAACTCCAACAATGGTAATAATCCAGATGTTTCCTCTTTCTTTACATCATCATCATCATCACCATCAAATAACATCGATGAAAATCAATCTTTGGAAGCTAGTCTCGAACAATTCTTTTCTTTGGCAAAGTAAGATGTGTATATATCTCTCTGTGATGTGCTTGCCTTTATTATTAATATTAATTTTAAGGTTATTTTTGTGGAAAATAAAAAATTAAAGCCTTCTAGGTACACTTAGAGATCAGGGAGCAGGTGATAATACTCATCAAGAATTTCTAGATAATTTAATATCTCAATTGACCGAGGAAGCAAATGCAAGGTAAATTACATTGGCGATGATGATAATAGTAGTCATTATTAATAATACTTTTTATATTTTATTATTAAAAAGTGCAAAAGGTCCACCACCAGCGAGTAAATCTTTTATCAATAAGTTGCCAATTGTTCCAAAATCAGATATTAATTCAGGTAAGAATTATTTAAATCTTGCTTATAAAATTGGTCTTTCTAAACTTTTATAATAATACTAATTATAATAATATTATTTTAACATTAATTATGCAAACACAATAAGATGAGACATGTATTATATGCGCTGATAAATTTCATGGGGGTGGGGACAAATTGGTAACATCTTTACCATGTAAGCACAAGTTTGATAAAGAATGTATCATACCCTGGTTAGAATTGGTAATTATCTATATTTGTTATGTTTATAATTATTATATTATTATATTAATAATATAATTTTAATTTAATTTAATCAAAATAAAGCATAACACGTGTCCAAATTGTAGACATGAAGTGGATTCTGATGATCCAATTTGGAGACAAAAACAAAAAGATCTTAAGAATCAACAAATTAGACAAGAAGATGATGAGGAGGATGTTGATCCTATTGATTTTATGTACCTATAAATTATTTTTTATAAGCAGAAAGCAAAAATAACCATAATCAAGGAAAAAATTATTACTTTTATAGAAATAATGATAATAATTTATATTAATTATTTTATTATATAAGATTTAATTAATTCGTTTAATCGATCAATATAATAGAACAGTAAAAATAATAATAATTGATTTAAGAAATAAATATAAATATTAATTAATTAATTAATTAATTAATTAATCATCAATTGGAATGTATCCTGGCATATTTTCTACTCTTCTTAACCAACTTTTAATATTTGGAAAGCTATCGATCGAAAATCCGCCTATATAAAATATAAGACACATTTTATAAATATGCACACATGCACACATCTCCACACTCTCACACTTATACTCTCCCCCGTACATACCTTCTTCAGCAACATGTGTATATGCATACAATGCAATATCAGCAATACTAAACTTATTTCCCACAAAAAATTCATTGCTCACCAAATGTTCCTCCATAATATTCAACGCTTCATATCCTTGTTTGTTTTTCAATACTATCTGATTCAGATACTCGGGATCTTCGCCTTTGTCAAGATATGTTATCCACCATCTGGAAACTGAAATATTTGGTTCATGTGAATTTTGCTCCCAGAATAACCATTGTAATGTTTTGGCTCTCTCTATTGGTGTGGATGGTAGTAATGGTGTACCATCTGCAAACAAATTTAATATTGCATTTGATTCTGTCAAATAAATAAAATCCTTTTCGTCTTTTTCTTTTGTTTCGTCTTCATTAGAACTAGAGCTGGAGTTTATGGATGTTGTGGTGGGTGAAAATGACAGTTTTGTTAGCGGATGAATATAATCTTTTGGTATTGCAAGTAATGGAATTCTACCAGTTGGTGTTACGTCATTTAGAAATGAATCAGATTTAGATTGGTCTTTTTTAATATTGACCTCTATACGATTATATGGTATCCTCAATAACGAAAGTAATAATCTGACCTGTTTTTGGTGCAAATAAAGTGTGTTGATAGGTTTATAGATTGTGATAGATAGTGTTATACTAATAAAACTAATAAATTAAACAGAATTGTCTATCATCTATTATACCTTGTAACAATTTCCCGAAACTGAATAATCATAAAGAGATATCAAGTGTTCCATTTCTTTCAGAACAATAATTTATCTAGGATTATCCCAGTTTCTAAAATCGACGTGCAAAACGCTATAATAATAATTTTAGAGATGCATGATATTTGTCTAGACAAAAATAGTTAGTATGATCATGTTACATTGGTAATACAATTGTGATGTTAAAAATATGGATCTCTGTAACAATGTTCACTTTGTCCCAAATGATGATGCAATTAATAATATATATATATATAATACTCCACTCAATCTAATTCATGTAAAAAAACTAAATAATATCAAAAAACAATAAAAGAGATGAAACGTGGGCATCGTAAATTACCTTTTAGTGGGAAAAAAAAGAAGAAACAGTTACAAGACAAACGTGCAAGACTTGCTAATAAACGAGACGATGGTTTTTATCTGAAATGATGTTTATACAAATATATTTTAAAATAATAATAAGAATTAAATTCCATAAAATTAGATTCAAACGAGGGAGATTTTGAAACGGAAGTTAATGATAGTTTACAACAAAAAAATACAAATGAAAAAAATCTCAAGAAAAAAATCGAAGCAAGTTCCTCACAAAGCATCAATGATACTGTTTCTATTAAAGCTCAAGACATCACTAGGTTTGTTCGGGAATTGATCTGTGAACGAAGCATTATAATGTGATGATATAATTAACAATTTTTATTTCCTTTAAAAGGTTGAATTCTGTATTTGAGAAACAAACACCTCAAGAAATCAGAAAACTACGAAATGAAAGCATGATACCTTTTACACGTCTTCCTTTGGTAAAATAAGACCGTTTTGTTATTTCGGATTTATCGTACGTACAATTAGACAGTTTTTTTTAAAAAATAACAATGTATTAAAAGACAGCTTTAGAAGTATCTAAAGAAGAGAGCTACACAACCATCATCGATTTTCCCAAAAGACCACCATGGAATTATGATATGACAAAAGAAGAGTTGGAAAGCAAAGAAAAACATTATTTTCAAGAATGGCTCAGCAATATATATGAACAATATCCAAAAGAAGAATTGAGTTTTTTTGAACATAATCTTAACGTAATTTATATTTATTGTTTATTATTATTATGATAATTTGATGATTTTCATTCTCTAATTAAAATATTTTATTTAGGTTTGGCGTCAATTGTAATTATTATAATGTTTATTTTTAATAAATAATTGGATTAAATGGGATTTTACCATTATAAAAATATAATATGTTAGATGGCGGGTTCTCGAAATTTCAGACATTTTTTTGATTTTAGTTGACATAAGACACCCTTTATTGCATTTTCCTCCTTCGCTTTATGGTTATATTGTTAATCAGTTGAAGCGTAAAATGTTTCTTGTATTTAATAAGGTAAAAGATGATTAAAAAAATAATTAATTATAATTTATTTTCTTTTTATATATTTGTTTGTTTGTTTATAGATTGATCTAGTTACAAAAAATACGGTTAATGCGTGGAAAAATTATTTTAAAAAAGAGTTTCCTGAAATTGTTGTAATAGAATTTAGCTGTTACCCTTGTGATAAAAAATTTGTTGACGATACATCAACTGGTAATTATTTTATTTATAATAATATTCATCATTGATGATAATTATAACAATAGTAATGACGATGATGGTGATGATGGTTAAATAAATACCGATATTTATGTTAGCTTATTTACAAAAAAGAACTAAACGGCCTAGAAAAAGATATTACCAGCCTGTAGGAATTAAAGATTTTTTGACCGAATGTAGTAATTTAAAGTTGAATAAACTCGGTGTAGAAGTCGATTGGGCAAGTTTAATACAAGAGTATTCATTAAGAGAACAAAGTCTTAATAATATTCAACAGGATGATGACGATGGTGATGATGGTGACAACGATGATGACGATGATGATGAAAGGGCGATAGATAAAGAAGAAGAAATTTATGTTAATGAGGAAGGGAATGACAAGTCTCAAAATGAATTGAATAATAGTGATGTTAATCAAATAGGTACGATAGCTTTTATTAAAAGATTTAAAACTACATGCTGAAAAAAGTTAACAAGTAATTGTTTTAAAAATCGGTTTTTTAATTTTCTAGAGACACAATTAAAATTATTAGGCATTCAATGTGAAACGACACCTAGAAATAATTTAATTACAATTGGTTTAATAGGTAATAAATAGGTAACATTAAAATGAAGCAAGTTAATTTATCATTCCAAGTTCCTATATATTATTTCTAACATTTTAAAATGTCGTCCTAATAATAATTAGGACATCCAAATGTTGGAAAAAGTAGCTTTATAAACAGTTTTATGGGTAAAACTGTTGTAAGCACTTCAAGAACTCCAGGTGTTTATTGATTATAATATTATTAATCATAAATATTTAATATATATAACTGATTCATATTTAATATATATAGGCCATACAAAACATTTTCAAACCATTCATCTATCTGCTAATGTTAGATTATGTGATTCTCCTGGATTAGTTTTTCCAAGTCTATTATCAAAACAAATCCAGGTTATTGTTTCTCTTTTTTTTTTTAGTATTTGCATCTTTTAAAAAAACAAATTAATAAATAATTCAAATAGATTTTATGTGGACTATATCCAATTTCACAAGTTCAAGAACCTTATAGTTCTATTAAATATTTGGTAAGATTAATAAATAATTTAATCATTCCATTTCTATTTCATTTTTGAACTTTAATTTCTATTATTATTATTTTTCAAACAAATAGGCAGAAAGAATTCGCTTAGAGAATATATTGAAAATTCAACCCCCTGAAACAAAAAATGAGTATAAATGGTCTGCATGGGATATTTGTGAAGGTAATAATTATTATATTAATATTTAATCGATTTTCATTTTTAAATCATAATACTAATTATTTTATATCTCTAAGCATTTGCTATTAAACGAGGCTTCTATAGTGGAAAATCTGCAAGGCCAGATTCTTATCGTGCTGCAAATGCAATATTGCGATTGGTTATCGATGGTCGTATTTTGCTTTCTTTTAAGCCTCCTGGTTTTTATAACCTACAAAAATAATATAAATGTATACTTTTTGTGATTCAAATAAAGAAAGCTTATGCGCAAAAAATTGTTGTTCCTTTTTTTAATCTCTGCTAAGTTTAATTTTGCTCTTTATCAATATAATTTTCCAATATAAATTCAAAAGGTTGATGAATGCTTACTTATCTAGAATGGATAACACATCATAATTAAATCGATTGTTGATTTGCGATATCAAAATCATAATAATGCTTGTATGCGTTATATAAAAACGTTGAATTTATGAATTTCAAGGGGGGAGACAGTTTGGATTTGTGAAATCTTGGTGCGTGTAACATTCGTGTTGAACCCCACCCCTAGATAAATACGACTAAAGTCACGTGGATATACACAAGTCCACAATGTTTAATAAATTATCCGATAAAAATTCAAATTCAACATTTTAGACAAGTCTCAATTGTCTAAATGTCTAAATAATTTAGTTTAGACACCCATCTATAGTTATTATTAATTATTATATTTTTTGATTATTGTTATCATTGAATGCCATTATTGTTAATAATATCATTATAACAATTATTGATATTTACAATTGCAAAAATATTATTATTCCACTTGCTTATGTGGCTGCTACCACTACTATTAATAAATCAATTGAAGAATTTTTCTTCTTTTTATAAAAGAATTAATATAATTTTAGTTTGATTTTGTAATTGTTGGAGGATCAACTACTTTTAGGATGTTGGCCGAAATGGTTTTGAAGTTAAAGTGTTCAAATAAATTTGGATATAATTTCGATAACCAATAAAGTTAATTTCGGCAACTATGTCGGATTCGGTGATGATCATTTATTAAAAGAGGCAATTTCGGCTAACATTATTTATGACCATTATTACCACTGTGTCAGACATTCTACATACCATGACTAGATTTTGATTTTTTCATCATTAAAATTGACCGTGAATGTTGATGATCCTTTCCCAAATCAGATTTCCTATAAAAATTTTTTTTTATATATATGGAATTTCTAAATATTGCGATGATCGACGTTCAAAAAAATTATGTCACACGTGAAAATGTCATATGCTTCCTAAACAGGATTTTCCAACCAATCATATTTAGAGTCCACATCTAATAACATTAGATTCCACTTAGCAAGGCTATCGTAATTATCTACCATGAACATCAATAATATCAATACATTTGGACGTAAAAGAATAGCTTTAAAGGATGTGAGTAACATTAATAACAACAACAACACCAATAATAATAATAATAATAATGCATCTACCAGTAATTTAAGCACATTAAAATCATCAAAAACTGAAAATAATGTTGTTGCTGTATCAAGAAAACAACCCACATTATACATACCTTTGAAATCTAGAGTAGAAATTCACAAAAATACTGAAACTCGTGGCGTACAATCCAAAAACGATGATAACAAGCTTACCAATACAAAATATAATTTTAATTTAACAAACAAAAACCAGCAAATTGATTCAAATGATTCAAATACAAACATCATAGCTGCAAAAACAAAGCAAGCATTTTTAATTGATCCAGTATTGGTTACAACTACTGAATCTATAAATTATGAAAATAAGATAGAAACGTTAAGTTCAAAGAAACCAAAAACTCAAGAATGGGATGATCTTGATTCAGAGGAGATGGATGATCCGATGATGGTGGCAGAGTATGCAGTGGATATTTTTGCTTATTTAAGAAACTTGGAGGCAAGAATTTTTAATTATAATATTATAATAATATATTGATGAAAGATAATAAATAACAATTAATAATTTGATTAACCAATTAATTAGAATGAAACCATGCCAATACGTGATTACATGAAGGGTCAAACAGAATTGAATTGGAAGATGAGAACAATTCTTATTAATTGGATAATTGAAATACATTATAAATTTGATCTACTTCCTGAAACACTGTTTCTATCAGTAAACATTCTTGATAGATTCCTTTCTGAGAGTGTAGTGAAAATGGCAAAGTTACAACTTGCAGGAATCACTGCTGTTTTTATCGCATCGAAATATGAAGAAATGGCGGCACCATCAATCACGAATTATTTATATATGTCTGATGGTGGTTATGCCGAAGAAGAAATTCTCAAAGCTGAAAGATATGTTTTACAATTATTAAATTACAAGTTGTGCTATCCAAATCCGATGCATTTTCTTCGAAGAATTTCAAAGGCTGATCAATATGACATTCGGTCTCGTACTCTTGCCAAATATTTGATGGAGATAACACTTATAGATCATAATTTTGTATCATGTAGACCTTCGATGATTGCTGCATCTTCATTGTACCTTGCTCGTATAATGCTTAATTGTGGTGAATGGGTAATATTTAAAAAATCTTTAATTTTTTGTTGAAGGTAATATATTAAATAACATATATTTGTTTAATATTTTAGCATTCCAATTTGATCCATTATTCCACCTTTACGGAACAAGAAATCATACCATATTCAGATATGATATTAAAATATTTGGCCAAAGATAAAAACATTAACTATGCTTTCCGAAAATATTCCACAAGTAGATTCATGAGAGTAAGTATATTTGTTAGAGATTGGATTGCAAAACACAGACATTTGGAACATCAAAGACTTTGATTATATGTTAGAATTTTATTGCTACTATTTATTTATTAAAAGAATGTTTTATTGATAAAAATTTTTAAAACAAATGTGTTGGATATTTTTAAAACAAAGTAGTAATAAATAGCAAGAATTACTTGTAATCAATATTCAATGTAAACGAATCTTGTTATCCTATATCAGGCGTGCACAAAGTTATGTAAAGATTAATTTTTATTTAAGAAGCAAATGTGATTGTGATAATAAATTTTGTTTATTATAACTCAAAGTATTCTTTCTTGTATTTTTATGTTTGAAAAAAATACCAAGACATAAATTTTTGATGATCTGAATCATAGTAAAATTCGAATTTACATAGTAAAATTTTACAACCAAGTGACTTCTAATCCCCATTTAATACCTTGCTGTATAGCAACCACCACCAAATTTGAGATATAACTTCTTTATCATATGTATCTGCTTTAAGAAAATTTTTAAAGCAGGTTGTTAATAAAA